AATGCTGTATAAATAATAAATAAATAAATCTTTAAAAAGTTTTGTGTTCATGAAGTTATCAACCTCATTTTAACAGATGAGGAAACAGGCAGAGAGATTAGGTGGGGGATGAGACAGCCATCGTGGTCTACCTCTATGAGCTACGAGTGATGCACTAGCTCTTTACTCCTGGAAGTTTGATGTATCCATCCACAGTATATATTTCACACATCACTCTGTGCCCACCTACCTTGTATTGTCACATTTCTATATCAAAGCTTGAAATCAGTGTAACTTTCATTATATATCCAACTGTATGTTTCATGAAGAAACCATAAATTAATATACATGGTTTTAGGGGTTGTATTTCTGTAAATAAAGTATCATGTATTGACTTTTAATTCCAATTTTAATATTAAACCTTTTGAGTGTTGTATCAATACATGGCCAGTGGTCACTAAGTACTTTTTTCATGATCTGTACATTGTTTTATTCATTAATGCAAAAAAAATCTCATCATAATGAGTCACACATCCCAGTAATTATATATATTCTTCACTTTAAAGACTTATGAATGTAGACTTTGGGCAGAGTGCCAGAAACCTTAGGGAAGAAGAGGGAGATAGAAAGACCTAGAGGGGACAGGAACTCCACAAGGAGAATAGCAGAGCCAAAATACCTGGGCCCAGGAGAGGGCTGCAGAGATCTATACTCCAACCAAGGACCTTGCATGGAGAGGACCTAGACCCCCCCTGTTCAGAGGAAGTCCATAGGCTGCTCAGTCTCCAAGTGGGTTTTCTAGTAAGGGGAACATGTCTCTGACATGAACTCAGTGGCTGGCTCTTTGGTCACCTTCCCCTGGAGGGTGCAGCCTTACCAGGCCACAGAGGAAGATGATGTAGCCAGCCTTGATGAGACCTGATAAGCTAGTGTAACATAGAAGAGGAGGAGGACTAAGGGAGAGGTATGGGGGAAAAGAGGCAGGGTGGGTGGGCCTGGGAGGAGATGAGATGAGGGAGGGAGCTGCAGCAGGGATACAAAGAGGATAAATTTAAATAAATAAATAAATAAATAAATAAATAAATAAATAAATAAATAAATAAATAAATAAATAAATAAATAAATTTGTAAGTAAGTAAATAAATAGATAGATAGATAAATAAATAAATGGAAATTAAAAAAACACTTATTAGTAGAAAGTGTCTACCTTATTTAGTAACTTTTCCTCAAAGCATTGTTGTGATTTAAGAGAGTGACTAAAATGAGCTCATAGTCTACTATGGAAGCAAGCTCTGTTATACAGAGAAAATAATGGAAGCCATGTTAAAAATGCAGTTGTATGAGGTGGGAGTTGAGACTGTATATTTTTTATAAGTCCTATGTGATGCCAGGGTAATTGATCACTTTTTTGTTATAAAAACACCAAGAGAATGAGTCAGTGTAATAAATGTGAGGATCGAAGGAGAACTTAGGATCAGGCTCTGACTTAGGTAAATTTCTAACAGCATGACTACATACTGACTCATCTGCAGTGATTGACAGGGAAAGGGAGAATTAATTCCTGAACATGCATGAGCAAATCATAATCCTATGAATAAGAACAAAAATTAGAAGAAACACATTGGAACTTTAGAGAAGACAAATGATGTATTTATTGTTGTAGTTGGTGATCATGAAGATCATGTGGCCGTGAAAATCTTTTAGATACTTGATATGAGTGTTGCAGTATAGAGAAGTTAATTCTCGAGATTTACTTGGAATCTTGTCAGAAGGAAAGAGATAACACTGTTTGAGGAAAGGGGATGTATTCTGTGCAGAGAGAAATCAGGCCTTTAAGAGTCAAGGGAAGGGGTGTAATGAAAATAAGAGAAACAGACAAGAGTGGCAGTGCACAGCTCTGATAGTTGTGACAGGGTAAGTTGTGAAAAACAGAGAGCATGCTTGATGCCAAAACATTAGAGAGCAATGAAAATTAATAAATCCCTGATGTTGTTCAAGACGATGATGACCTCACACATCTTTGTAATGGAGCTTGCTTATCACCTATGCCGTTAGGACACTGACAGTCCAGCCTGAGCTAACTAGCATGTTACAGGCCAGCCTGAGCTATTTAGTGTGATCTTACTTCAGTAAGACAATGAGAAAAAAAGGATAATAGCTTCTCAAAGGCAAGAGATGAGTGGAAATGCTAAATATCATGGAGCTGAATGAAGTAAGAGGTGTTGGTACAAAAAAAAAGTCAGCATGCAAAATATTCTTTCACAGTAAACCAGAAATACAGCCATGAAACCAAAAGACTTTGGCTAAATCACTTAATGTTGCTGGAATTTACTGTTGCCCTTTTTATAACTGAATGTCCGGAATTATGTTATTTCTTTAAAAATTATTAGTAGAAATGATGAGCTGGCTTTAGTTACTGGAAAGCCCACTGTTTTGTTATCATCTTCACTGATCTTGTTTTCAGTGTTGGAACTATAAGAAAGAATGCCTGTCTCCTCCAGGTCTTACTATTTCCCCCTTCTTTCATAAGATTCCCTGCAGTCTGCCCAGATGCTATGAATCTCAGCATCTGCTTTGATACCCTACTGAGTAGAGTCTTTCAGAGGGCCTCTGTGGAAGGCTCCTGTCCTGTTCCCATTCTTCTACTTTGGGTGTCTATCCTGTTCGTCCTTCTGAATAAGGATTAAGCTTCTTCCCTAGGGACCTCCTTGTTTTTTAGCTTCTTTAGAACTATACATTTTAGTATAATTATCCTATATTATATGTCTAATACTCACTAATAAGTGAATATATACCATATGTGCCTTTCTGCTTCTGGGTGACCTCACTCAGGATGATCTTTTGTAGTTTCATCCATTTGCCTGCAAATTTAATGATTTCTTTGTTTTTAATAACTGAGCAGTTTTCCATTGTGTAAATGTACCACAATTTCTGTATCCATTCCTCTGTTGAGGGACATCTAGGTTGTTTCCAGATTCTGGCTATTATTAATGAAGCTGCTATGAACATACAGACCAATAGAGCCAAAAAAAATCTGGGCCAAGGACCATGCCTTTAGAAGACCTAGAGTCCCTGCTCAGATGTAGCCCATGGGCATCTCAGTCTCCGTACAGCTTCCCTAGTAAGGAGAACAGAGGCTGTCACTGTCATGAACTTGGTTGCCTGCTCTTTGATCACCTCCCCCTGGTGAGGTAGACTTACTAGGCCACAGAGAAAGAGGATCTAGACAGTCCTGATGAGACCTGATAGGCTAGAGTCAGTTAGTAGGGAAGGAGAACCTCCCCTATCAATGTGCTGGTGGGGGTATAACATTGGGGTGAGAAGAGGGAGGGAGGGTGGGGCCAGGAGGATATGAGGGAGGGAGCTACAGCCAGGATACAAAGTGAATAAATTGTACTAAATAAAAAAATAAAATAAAATAAAATAAAATAAAAATTAAAGAGTGCCTAAATTGTACGTGGTCCTCTTCCTAGAGAATTTACAACTGTCAAAATCACAAGAGACTTCTCCAACTTGTTTCCTTTTCAAAGGTTATTTTTATTTATTTAATTTCGATCTGATTGTGTTGAAATGACTTATTCTTTTTCACTTATTCTGTGATTTTGTTGTCACCAAAGTAGCTTGGGCTCTTGTATCAGTTCATGCTATAGTTAAAATATAGATTGTTTTGGACTTGAATACCAATGCATAAAGTAGTGAACCTGAAAAACATGTGCTCCATCAGCATGAAAATCCCTTCCATATGAGAATGTGTTCCCTTTACATAAGGCTCCCTCGGCTTACCACAGGTCGGTTCAGTAGAGTGAGGACACCTAGCACATCTATGCTACTTTAAGGTCCATGTAACTGCTAACAACTGTTTATGTACTCTATGTGTCATGATGTAGAGGTACAACAATTCCCTTGGGAAGTGATTTTCCATGAAGGCATCTAGTCTTGGCTACCATGGGTGTGCCAAAAGGCTCTTGGATCTATTGGGCCTAATTCATTTTTGTTTTTCTAAACACCATCTCTTCAACTTTTAGCCATGTAGACATCAATTTAAGGTAGAAATTTGCATTTTGTCAATCATGTGTTACTCTTCAAATCTTGGTTTAAGTGAGGATTTCTCATATTTATTTGAGCTAATTATTTGATTTAAAAAATGGTTGTGTGTATAGTAGGATCTATCAATGAAAAAGGCACTAGTGCACAGATTAGAAGGCCTCCTAAATTCAAATCCCTAACCCTACAAGGTGATTAGAGAGAGTCAATCCTGGAATTACTCTTTGATATTACATTTGTACTATGGCATGAATAAGCCTGCAAACACACACACACACACACACACACACACACACACACACACACACACTAAAATAAAATAGTTAAATATAATTCAAGAATGCTCAATCATTATCAGACATTTTAAGGATTTTCTTTTGCCAGAACTTAACTCTATTTAATTTTCAACTTTTGTACACAGCTTTCTTTAAAGAAAAATATTTTATTTTAAATTTCTTTTAACAAGTGTGCAGTATTAGGTATCAACAGTAACGTATGAGTCATAAACTCAGTTTTTAATGAATTGATTTTCAAAATATCTGGTTTAAAATAACAAAGTTGACCAAACTCTCATCTCATATTCATCCTTTTACTGTTCTGGAGAAAGAAATCTTGACCTATAAATGTAACTTTAGTTTATTTAATGTTTTCACAGTAAGTTAAAGGTTAAGGTTCTATAAGTTAAAATAATGTTATTAACGATTTAAAATGTCTAATGCCTCACAGACTAACTTTAAAGTCAGCAATGAGACATTTTTCTACAGAGGGTGTGCTGCATTACTCCACAGGGCATTCATAATGGAAGCTCATCGCATACGTGCTGCATTACCATGCTTTTCCAATTAATTTGTTCTTTATATATGTTTATCTGTGTTTCAGTTGCATTTCATTAACTCATAACTTTCTTGTAAGTTTGAACTTTCTTTCCATGTTCAAAGAATTCCTTTAATTCAATTTCTCTGTTTCTCCTCATACAGTCTGACAGCCAGATATGCAGCTCAGTGTAATCACAGTGGAATTGCAACCAGTCAGAAAAAGCCTACTAGGTCAGTTCATGTCTCTAATCTATTGTTTGTTAGTGATATTCAAGTAAATGCCAGTGATATTCCGTCCAGCCACTCTACATTTCCTAAAGCATGACACACTTCTAAGGGTACTAAATTTAGAGCACCAAGTCCTTCCAAGCAGATTTCCATCTGGAGACTTTGGGATAAGTGAGTTAGGTG